GCAAAAATGCGCATCACCGCATGACCTGCCAAGGTAAAGGATTGTTGATAATTGGAGTACTTTAAGCCACATCATTTACTGTCGTTTTTTCTCCTTCTCCTGTCAGTTCAACATCAAGGAGTTTGAGGACCGGATTGATGAAGTGGCATTCCCCGTTTCTTCAGTCAGTCGTAAATGCAGTCGGTTGAATGGAAATGTGAGATGCATTGTTTTGGTCACCGCACCAACACCTGCACTGAGAGAGGTGAATGCGAATGCGGTCTGCATTCACCACGTTGCCCAGGGTACGTGCGCATGCATGCCAAAGAGTTGCTGCCCCTCTCTCAATCCAACCCGTGTCACAACTTGGTTGAGGTGTACACCTCATGACCCCACCAAACGAACTGCCAACCGACAAAATTGACGAAGAGGCAGAGACGAACACGAAAGATGGCAACGTATGCAATGAGCATAGGGCAATCGCATGACAAGCAGTCCTCGGAATAACAATGCACGCACTGTTGTTGTGGTCGAAGATGGTGGAGAAGTTGATGCCGGGATTGGTGCGGTTGAGCACGTCGTCACGAATGTTGTCACAACGAAAGAAGCAGTGGAGTTCGGTGATGGACCGGTAGAGACAGTCGGCGGAACGCTTGCTGGACAACTCGTAATTGCGCATCTTCACGGATGCATCGTCTTCCAACAGGTTCAGCGTCACCACTCGACCTGAGATTGTCACTGTCTTCAGTCGGCAGTAGGGAAATCTAGTGAATGATGAAGAAATTGTCTACCTCAAGACGAAAGAGGCACTCGACACGGTGTGTTGATGCAGGGTAAGGAGGGAGAGGGGAGGAGGAGGTTGAGGTCGGAGTGCGTCAGTGTTCTGGTGCCGTCTACTCTGAGGGCCAGATAAGTATGCACACGAAGTGGGCTTTTGGTGGGATGTGCGTGGTTCGACGTGAGGCTCGATAGTTGAGAGCAGTGGCAGGCAGTAATGCCTTGTTTGAACACGAAGGGCAAATAAATGGGCAATATTGTGAGAGAGTAGGACGGTTCTGCACAGATGACACTTCACACAAGTGGATTAGTGCAAATGACAGTGAGTTTTCCTGGTGCATTGTCATCATGAAGGGCGCAGACGTGTGGTGTTGTTGTGTGTCGGATGCGATAAAGGCACGGAGGGAGAGGGAGGGAGTGATGTGGATCAGAAGGGGCGGGGAGGTGACTTCTGTGGGTGTGGAGCTCACAAGGTGTCATCAGGACAGACCTGTGTTCCCCTCATCGGGTAATAGCGAAGGCGACAAAGTCAACCGCAGCCACTACCATCTTGCTAATTGCGTTTTGGGTGTAAACAACGGTTAGCTGGACCTGTAATTTAGGGAGGGTGTTGTGGAAGTAACTGGTTGTTTGGAGATGTTCGCACGAGTCACGTGATCGACACTACTCAACGCCATAACATTCCTCTGTTCCACTTTCGATGTGGATGTTGTCAGGCTGGAGTGAGGGCATCCATCGTGATTGCGTTGTACGAATGGAAGGGAATATGTCATGCTTTGCATGGCTTGGGGTTGGGGGCTTAGGGAGCATATTTAAAACCCACATTTGCCATGTTGTATTGCTTTACTGGGAATTAATTAAAATTATCCTGATACAAATGTTGCTTACTTTTGGCAATGTCACCTGCCTTTTTGAACACAAAAAGCGCCATCTGTAAATCCTTTGTTATGAGTCTTGCAAGAGATACTAAACGTTCTAATGGTTTATTTAAAAAGACCAAAATAGGCTGACTTATTAGAAAATTGTGTGATATAGAACTGCGCACAGGGGCCATTGAAGAGTAGAGTGCGGATGACAAATTGGCGTCCCTCTCCGTTTTGCATGGCATAGAGCTTAGCAGTTGAATACAGTTGGCAACTCCCTATATCTCGTATT